ACACAAACGCGCGGGCGCGCATGGTTGCACATGGACTCCCTAGTTGTGTGAAAATTGATCAAACTTGGAGCATCACCAACACAAAAGCTAACATTCAAACGTGCCATATCGGAGAACAATTGACACTTGACCCACAAATCAATTTTTTTTTAGTCAATAGCAGCGTCGCTGCGCGTCACAAGAGCGAGCACTTATCTACCCGCGATATATCGTTAGCATTAAATCATGCATCGCGCGATAATAATACCGGGCACCATTCCCCGGACGAATCGCTGTCAGATTTTTTACTTTTGCCAGGCAAGTCGGCGGGCAATCTGAAATCTGAATCGCTGAAAACTGCCGACTCTATGCCCCGTGGATTTTTACGAGACGGTGTGTGCGCGCGCACAAAAGGTTCGAAAGTCATCGAATGCAGTCCTCTCGTCTCTCCGACACGTTTAAAAGTTATTCTGTGTTTGTCGCGATATATTCGTTTATTTTCGGAACAAAGTCAATGCCGAGATCCATTCCTCTCTGGATACTCGCGCAATAATAATACATCGTTGCGACTCTAATCCGGCTTAATTCCGCGGACAATTCTGCGTTATACGCGCGAGTCGGTCGCCGGTAAATCGCGGAGGCAAATCGAATCATCGGACAAGCTTCCTCCCCCCCTCCCCCTTTCTCTCTCTCTCTCTCTCTCTCTCTCTCTCTCTCTCTCTCTCTCTCTCTCTCTCTCTCTCTCTGTCTGTTTGTCTCTTGTTCTCTATATTCTCGATGTGTTCCGATCTGATATTCACCTGTGGCCGACGCGAAAACCTGCCACGCGAAACCTGAACGATATGCGCGAGAAAAAGCGAGATACGACCTCGTATCACTGCGCGGTGACGCAACAAGGTTGCGAGAAAGCGTGTGCGATTCTGACCACCGACACGCGCACGTAGCAGTGTCCGCGCGTAAAGGGAGAAACATGTGCTCGAATCACGGCGGCGGTTGCGGCCACACGGCGAGATAGAAAGGCACCGCGGAAGTGCGATGAACGCGAGAACACGCGGCACCAAACTACTTTTGCGCGGTAAGTGGAAGGTAAGTGAGACGGGCGCGGATTCGTCGCGACGAGCAAATACTTTCGTGCTTGTTCGTGAAAACTCGATGTTTTATCTATCTAACAAAAAGGGTTAGGAGAAAAAGCAAGACAGAGAAAGCGTTATTTATTGGACCGTTGCGATTGATTCCCGAGAGAGAGAGAGAGAGAGAGAGAGAGAGAGAGAGAGAGAGAGAGAGAGAGAGAGAGAGAGAGAGAGAGAGAGAGAGAGAGAGAGAGAGAGAGAGAGAGAGAGTGTGCTACGTACGAATTTTCTTGCTTTGACATATATAAAGAGATTTGACAATTTTATGATGAAACAATGTTTACAAACCAGCTTGTTCAACTTGAAAAGTTGAATTTCAGTTCGACTTGTTAGATATAATAATTCGACATGCAATTTCTTTCGAACGCTTTCGAACTGAGCGATGCAGTAAGCACATTGTCTGAGTTTTAATCAAAGTAGGTTAGATATTTAATGATTTTTCCGAACGAAAAGCTGATGAAATCGCAAAATGTGCATCGAAGAAGCGAGATGAATATTGTCGTCGAAAAAATTATGGAAGAAATCCGCAAGATCTTTATTCGTGACGTAGACAGGAAAATACCGGTAGAGAAAACTCGTCATTTCGTAACAGACAGAGAGAAAATATATATCGGGAGAGCGAGAAAGAGAGAGAGAGAGAGAGAGAGGGGGGAAGGAGGGATGGCAAGGCTGGAAATCCCGGGACTTTCCCGCTTGTGCCGGGCTACTACTGCTCCACCCTAGTTTTCTCCGTTTCGATACATCTCTCTCTTTCTCTCTCATTTTCTTAATGGTTTTTGTTTATGCTCGATGCCTATCCATGCGTTCATTATTGCCTCGTATATATAACGGTGTTATTTCTTAAAATTCCTACTCCTGTCTCGCCATAAGAATATTGGTCCTAACGAGGACGAGAGGAAAACTTCAGTTTCGCCATAAGTGAAATTCAATCCTCGACCGGCTGCAGCGCGCATAAAGAAATGACAAGGAGGGGGGGCCCTTTGCCGCGAAGGGACCGAAACTCGTCCGCTTCAGTCCGGAAAAGCCGGTATTCTCTCTCTCCGTTTCGGTGCGCCTACCTGCGTTCGTACAAAAATAAACGCTTCTTGTGCTCAACAATGGCAACTCGCGTCGTACATAAATTTTCACATTCCGAAACATTTCACATCCGAAGAAAATTTTTCTTCTACATAGGTTTCATCTAATCGTTAACCTGTATGCCGAAAACAAAAGCTAAAATCTACGGGGGCGAAAACCTTTGAGATCCCCGACTATTCTTCTGGAAGTTTCTACGTGAACACAGATGTTTTCTCCTAATGATTTTTGCTCCCTTTCATATATATTTTCTCTATGCAGTAGTAATTTATAAAACTAAGAGCATTGTATATCACAATACAAAGGATACCATAGATTTAGTCACATTTTTGCTGTACCTGAGTCATGTTCAAAGAAAACTCTCGAGTAACCTCTCTTTCTCGCTGTTTCTATGTTATACATTGAAAACGTGACAGACAATATTTGAATACTTTGAGACTTTCTCTCGTGAAAATTCTCTCTTTCTCAATTTTCTTTCTATAACAGCAAATTGTGTGGAAAATACGAAAAAGCATTGATCACGAATCAATTATATCTTAAATATTTATTTTTGTCGTTTTCTAAAAAATAATTGTAAATATATTAATACCCATCAAAGTAGCTGTAAAAATGTACTTTTCGTCCGCCTGCAATTTTCGAAGTTTCTTAGGAAATTTCTAAAGTGCGAAACGATATGAGATCGTAACAAGAAAAATGAACAAAAGACGCAAGCAAACGGATTCAAATTTTCGTCGAACCAGCCGCTGCGCTTTCTTACAAAGCGATTGTGGGAGGCTTTCGCGAATACCGGCGCTTTAAAAAGTCTTCGTCGAGGCCCAGGAATCGTCGGAGTGATGTGGGATGGCTCGCCGCTCATTGATCAACATCAATAGCGCGACGCGACGAGACGACTCGACTCGACCGGCGGCGTCTTTTAAGCCGCGTACACAATCGCGTGCATCTCGCCAAACGGTCGCACAACGTGTACGATGTATCATCGAAAAGGAACGTATGCTGCGAAATGTGAGGAAGCACGACGAGGACACAGCAACGAGACATACGTGTTGATGTGTGTACGGAGCTTTCGATGATACGCGCCCGTACGTGCACGTGCACACAGCCTGTTTTTCTGCGTCGTTCCGACGCCGAACAGCATGGACATGTGGTGAATTCGGATGATTATCAAGCGCGGCCGGTATATTTCGAAACGACTGGTTCTCTCGCGACGAGATCTCGCACCTTGAAAATCGCGACCAATCGAGGCGAGGCGATGAACCGCGTGTGAAACGATTCACGCCGAATACAAAATGCGAGCTTCTTCGATTTGGAAAAAGAAGTGAAATACTCTATCGAACAGGGGAATTGTGTGCCAGCTAAAAAATCTCTCCGCGATAAAACGAACGAAGCGCACATGGCGCGAATCAAACACAATATATTTCTCTTTGCATTTTATTATTCTTTTCCAGTTAAGGGACGAGATAATCGTCTTTTTGATATTACGAAAAAAGAATAAATAAATAAACACGAAATTGCGTAAGGAGAAAAGATCATGAAAAAAATATTGCTCTCGAAACGTTATCTTTGTTGTACAATACAAAAGCACACGTGATACACGAGGTCGTCGACGACGATGACGACATCCGTGCTATCCTTTAAACCGAGTAATTGTTATATAATTTTGAAACGATATACTTACTAGCATTTGTCTACGTTATGGTCAGTATATAGTAAATTTTATCAATATTAACGCGTTTGTACAAATCGAGGAACGTATGAGACGAGACGTGAAATACGACACAAAGATACGAAGCACTATTTACTTTCACCCGATAGAGCACTCTTCTATATACCCGCGTGTGTTCGTCTTCTAGAAGCTCTCTCAGACAAATAAATAATTTGGAGTTTCTACTCGTTATTTCACTACGTTTGCCAACAATGCGCCCTCTACCTAGTGGCCCTCCGCTACTACGAAAATGAACTCTACCTGTCTCTCATTCTTTCCCACGCTTCCTTGTCCTTTCCCTTTCCATTTTCTCTTTCTTTCTTTTTACTTCTCCCACTCTCTCTTTCTCTTTATACTCCCAGTCTCTCTCTCTCTCTCTCTCTCTCTCTCTCTCTCTCTCTCTCACTCTCTCTCTCTCTCCCCATCTCACCCATTCTCCTTCTCCACTCTTCCCTTTCCCACCAACGGTCCCTGGTAGGTCGTTCGCGGTCGAGGCGAACATAACCTACAACACCATGTCGTCGAACAAAGATTCGCCGGGAGACAACGGACGCTCAAGGCCAACCGCCGTCGGTTTTCGACGCTCACGCGATTTTGTGCGTTTTGCCGAGGCAAAACGTGTCGGTGCGACGGAGATGAGATAATGCGAATTCGAGCGACAGGGAACGGGTAACGAAGGCGAAGGATCGCTGCGAGAGGACGCGTCGTGTCCTACGTGTCTCTATGTGGTGGCCTCTTCCCGCCACTTCTCGCTGTTCGCCCATGACACACGATCGTTGCCGTCGATGCGTATTCGCGTCGGCAAAGAGCGTGCACGGCCGCCGTCCGTCGACCCGGCGCCTGCTATCGAACCGACGCCTTCGGGAGCTCCGCGTTTCGAGAGTTTCACGGGAGCGAACGAGACGCAAGAGGACGGAGTGACAAAGAACGAGAATACGAGAGACGCCTTTCTGCCTCTGTCTGCCTGCGTCGGTCTCTTTCTCTCCTTCCCTGCCTCTCTCTCCCTACCCCTCTCGCTCTCTCTCTCTCTCTCTCTTCGTCGTTCGGTTTGTCTGTCTGGACCGGTCGCGTTCCGTCCCGTATAACAGAGGGCAAATGGAAAAGACAAGACTTACAGGGTAGTACATCCCTTGCGCAGGAAGAAAAAACGCCCCAGAGCCCCACAGCTTGAGGCCGTTTTGCTCCACCGTTGTGCAAGAAAACAAATCCGTCACTTCGTACCGCCGCCTCCCCCTCCTCCTCCTCCGCCGCTACCGCCGCCTCCTCCTCCTCCACCTCCTCTTACTCCTACGGCGATGATGCTGATACCTTCTCCTCCCTCGTCTTTCCTCTGCTAGCACTATCTTTTTCTTCCTGTAGTATGCACACCACGCGCTACTAACGGCGCGTCTTTCTTTCTCTTTCCCTCTCTCTCTCTCTCTCTCTCTCTCTCTCTTTCTTCGCTCGCTCGTTCGCTCTTTCCCTTTCTATCTTTTCACCGAACGTACTCGTACGCGGCACACGATGTTAAACACAAACAAAACTGATGACGACGATGACGACGACGACGTACCGTCCACCTCCTCCGCGAACCTCTATCTCGTTCGCTCTTTCTCTCTTTCTCTCACACACACCGACGAAAACACACGGACGAAACACGCACGCGCGCACTCAATACCGGAGAAACTGCTGGGAACGAACCACGATGGTCGCGCGAACGGCGGAATCCGCGGTTTCTCGTGTCGCGTGGATCGAGCGACAACGGAGCTCGCAAAAACGCCCGTAGTCGTTTAACCGTTGCTATCTATCCCGTCGTTGTTCTTTTCTCGCGCGATCGCTCTTTCCGTCCGCACTAGCTCGCTCGTTTCGTCTCTATCTGGCGCGTACAACGACAACTCACAACCGTCACCGTGGTTCCTCTGCGACTGCTGATGCTTCCGCCGTTAGCCGGCGCCATCGACTGCCAGCGCCATCGCGCGCGCGACACCGACGCCGCCACACGGCCACTCGCGTACTAACAGCTCGGGTCGGTCTGCAGTCGGAGCGCATGTCATGCCGACGTAGCCGCGTTAATCAAAGCTGCATCGAGAGCGCGACTCGGAATTCGGAATTTCCCGGACGTTTCGGCAATGGCAGAACTTATTCGCGAACGACCACGGTCAAATATAATATGACGGAGGTCGAAATATCGTTTCCGTATCGCGACCGTACCGGTTTGTCATATATATCGGGAGAAACGTTGGGCTAATTGGAAAGAATGAGTCAACAATCGAGGGGGAATGAATCAAAAAGAAAAAAAAAAAAGAGGGAAGACGAAAGTACAAATAGAAATCGACAAGACGATTCGCTTCTCACGCCAACTACGCGTTAATTGTTTTCCTCCTTTGTATTGTGATATCGCAGCATTTCAGGCAATTATAGCGTAATATTTAAGATTCGTTCACGCAAAGTCACTGCGACACGTTTCGGTTGTCTCGCGTAAAATCGATCCGCGACAGTTCTCGGCGGCGACAATTCTCGACGAACGACAAACGAACGACGACTCGAGAAGCGCGAAGATGCTCTCGACGGCTAAGCGGATAATCGGTTCTTCCTCGTTTGCTTTTACAGTTCCCCGGGAACGTGCCCGGAGCGTGTGGTAATCGTGTACATAGTTGTGGAATCGTCCGCCGCTCTCGTTACCGGTCCACCAAGTCGCGCACGATCGTCGGATCGCGCGCATCTCTCGTCAGCGTCGCGTGCTCATTATTATTTTAATGCCATCCATAAACGATACTTTTCATCATCCACTGGCTTGATAAGCGGCCGTGCCACACAATGTGCCCTTTTCATTCCCGCTATCCTTAATCCACGTGCTCGCGTAATAGACACAGCGTTTTATTCGCGCAGGTACCAACCACTTTAATTTAACGAGATCTCTCTCTCTCTCTCTCTCTCTCTCTCTCTCTCTCTCTCTCTCTCTCTCTCTCTCTCTCTCTCTCTCTCTCTTTTTCTCTCTTATAACGCTTATTTCACAAATTTGCGAAACAGGCGTAGAACTCCGAGACGATCGACTTTCTAACGGTTTTGACATCTTTATGAAAAACGAGAGCGGTCGCATTGGCGCATCGCGTACGTCACCGTATTTTCGACATTTATGAGATTTTTCCTTTGATGGATTTCTTGCCAATTTCGTTCACCTTAACCAAACTACCGAGACAAATAATGTTTCTTACGTGAACAAAGTTCACAAGTAATCACATTGACGTACTTTGCGTACGCCACTGCAAGCGTATTTCTACGTATTTCAAACGAGACCTATACGAAACTCTTTTAGACAAACCCCGCCCTCCTCCCTCTCTCTCTCTCTCTCTCTCTCTCTCTCTCTCTCTTTCGTGTCGTTTGTCGAGCATGACACCGCGACGTTAGTTCGTCGGAAGATCGCTCGAAACGTTTCATCATCGAAGCGAGATACGTACCGAAAAAGAGACAAACTGCGCGCACGCAAAGTCGTCGTGAAAAGAAGCTACAAGTCGCGTAATAAATCCTACAAAGAACCACGCAAACGTCGAAGGGTATGCACGGAGGAACATCGTACCGAGTTGATTCAGGAGCTATTAAGCTAAGGCTGGCTGTTCTCGCGCGCCTCTCTTCTCCGAGTGATAAGTTATCGATCGCGGTTCCTGTAATTATGACGACGCTGCTAAGCCCGCTTACATCGTCGTCTAGAGGTGGCGAACTATTATTTCAGTTCGCCTCGTTGAGCGTCCGGTTCAATAAAGTCAATGTCGGCGGGATTGCGACGGCTGTGTGTGTGACGAGCGCGGCAGCCAGCGCGACGGCGGAAGAGCTTTGGAAGAGGTGCGCGCTCGTGCACGCAGAAGAGAGAGAAAATGCGATCGGAAGGGGTGCGAGGACAGGGTGGATAGCGCGGCGACAACGAAATCCCAACAATTTATACCGTTGGAATTTGGCCAGGGATCGCCGTGCCGCGTCCTATGGGTGACGATGGGCGAGAAACGAAAAATGTCGAACGCGATATCGCGACGGTTCATTCGCCGGTAATTACAATTTATTACGCGACTGTTTTCTCGCCCATAACGACGGCGATAATGTTGTTGTAATTATTACCGTGGTCGTTGTCGACGAGCAAGTTCAGACATTCGGTGATACCTTGACGTGAATACACGCAGAAGAAGCATGTTTCTTCTCTGTCTCTGTTTTTCTCCTGCTCTTTTTCTTTCTCACTGGTTATTCTACATCGCGTTACGTTTTTCCGATAACAGGCGATGACGGCGGGATAAGGGGAAGATACGAACAATATACGATAAATTACAGACACGTTCGCCGAGCCGTTGCGTACGCAAGAAATAGGAAGTATGTATTCCATGCCGCTTTATGGATCGCTTCAGGTATACGTGTACACCCGGTGTCTACGCTATATATATTTTTTTATATATATATATATATATATATGTGTGTGTGTGTATATATTTAGACACACACACACACGCGCGCGCGCCAGCCGACAATCAACCTGCGCGAGAGCGAGCCGCGAGGGACGCGACCCCTCTTCGGATCACCATAGAAACCAAGAGATGGGACGAGAGGGTGTAAACGCTATAGCGCTTAGAATAACGCACCCAAAGACCCTTCAGATGGAAAGGGGATTCTCGCGGTAGTATCGCGACGTGATAGCGAAGAGCGTCGCTGGAAATATAGATATTCTCATATACACGGGATATATTTGCCATCGACGACTATAAAAGCGTATCGCGTTATCGACGTGGAAAACGTCGGATAAATACAGTTCACTCGGAGTAATAAGCAGCATACGTATACGGAATATGTGACATTTTTGCGAGAATACAAAATAAAAAGGAACGACGATGATGACGGGAGCCTCGTGAATGTTCGATCGCTGCGAAGTGGAAACGGAAGGATCACCGAGGAGAAGCATCGAGAATTATAAATCTCTTCAACTTGCTCGTTACTAATTGAATCCTAATTAAACCGGGTAAATTTTTAAGAGGGTCGACCGTACGAACGGGAGAAATGAGAAATTAGAACGGTAAATGAACGGAAATTATGTGAATATTCCGCGCGCGGAATATTCACATTATACTATTCGATTAATATACACATTCGATTAATATACGGGAAGTCATATTTTCGTCCCGATTATTCTCGCGTATCCTCGAAGAAAGTATGTAAGATGGGGTCCAACGTTGATTTATATCATCGCAGTATATATATTGTATATATTGCTCTTGAGAGTTCCTGAATATAGAATAATTATAAACTATTTCAGAGAGTGTCTCCTCTTTCGCGAGCAATTTCGCACGCGTCGCTGGGAAATCCGGCGAGGCATTTTTCCCGATTTCAATTGACGCTTGTTCGCTCGACGAACAGCGATCGAGCAAGCGGCAATTCTTTCGGTCGAGCGGATGTTTCTCTCGTCACGCTCGCGAACTCGCGGCCGATGAGTTTATTCTCGCGTTCCTCCGTGCAACTATCGCGCGAAACTCCGTCGAAACGCGCCGCGACATTCGCCGAATCGACGGCGTGTCGTAAAACCGCGGCTCGTTCTCTCCTCGTTGCCGTTGCCGCCGCCGCCGTCGCTGCAGCCGCTGCAGCAGTTTCAAGTGCACTCGGGGTGGTCACGCGCGTATTTTTAGAACCCTCCACGCGCGTTGCGGCTGGAGCGCACATGCGCTCGGCGAACGACGCCATTCAGAGTCCTGGTATGCCGGCACCTCGCCGGCTTACACGCTCCTGACACTATAAATGTTTTATGCTCGACCTCACCGACGACGATGACGACGACGACGACGACGACTACGACGGGCGAGAAGAGCGGGAGGGGAAGGGGTAAAGACAGAGAGAGAAACAGAGAGGGGGGAGGGGAGGCAGGAGCCGAGAGGGCAGACGAAGGGATCGAGGAAGATAAATTTATCGGGTCTTGGAGAACAAAGTATCGTCGGGATGCAGCAACGCGTGCGCGCTTGCGGAAGCTATGAATATGTGCCGAGAAATCCGTGCACGCGTTAAATATGCACATATATATATATATATGTATATATATAGTATATATATATATATGTGCATATTTAATATATGTATATATATATATATATATATATATATACGCGCGTACGTATACACATCGAGGGACGCGCGCGGCATTAGGCGTCGAAAATGATTATCCCGGCGACGATAACAATATGGACTGCACAAATAATGTCGGTTCCTGACGATTAACATAATGAAATCTCACGGCGGTAATGGCGACGGCGGCGGCGGCGGCGGCGGCGGCGGCGACGGCAGGATTAGCGCGCTGCGGACGCTATGAAATCGCACGCGCTCTCACGACTACCGAATTTAATGATTCAACAACACTGCGTATATTCGGTAAGCTGTTTAGTCGGCCGGTTCGCTCGATTGGTTTAGCCGGCACACGCGTGTATCGATGACGTATTGTTATCCGCGACAACTCGTTATTAATCGCGTGTTATTGACCGTTGACAAGAAAAAGGAAGAAGACGAAAAGAAATGTCGCGAGGTGAAAAACGCAATTGGTTGATAATCGCACATACATTTGCAGTTGAAATTAACAAGTACTTTTATATCGAAATCTATTTGCAATCAAGGAAATACGACTAGGTTTGTTTCAGTCAGATAATGCGACAGTTTTGTGTAAGATGCGAAGCGTTAAAAATCCTCTGTCAAGAGAAAGGACGAGAGAGAGAGAGAGAGAGAGAGAGAGAGAGAGAGAGAGAGAGAGAGAGAGAGAGAGAGAGAGAGAGAGAGAGAGAGAGAGAGAGAGAGAGAGAGAGAGAGAGAGAAAATGGAGGTGAAAAGACGAAAGAGTCGTATTACATCTCGGTTTATAGGTCGTCTTCGATTTCCCGAATTTTCCACCTCTTTTTTATGATACACCAAAACTCGCGGGCGAACATCCCCGAGATGACGAACGGGAGAACCCAGAGACGCGTGCTGTAAGCCGGGTGACAAGAGGATGACGCGGCGGGTGAGA